TCTGACAGTAGCAAGCCCCAGTCTGTGGAGACCACTCTAGCTGTGATGGCAGTGGAGCAGGCCGTGCTCATCTGCAGGAGAAGCAGCATACAGGAAATGCAGGTAGATGCGATTGCTTTTCAAGCTATGGCAGTTAGCATTTCCTAAGAAATGAGGGCACATAAATAAGTTAGGATACACACAGTCTTATATTCTGATGGTACATAAAAAAAAATCCATGGTATATAATATAGTACAGTTCTAAATTCAAAACATTGCAACCTGAGGTGAGATGTCAAGGACAATCAAAGTGAGTTTGAGATTAATTTATTTGTTTACAAACCTATTACCTTCCTACTTTCCCCTTAGCCTTCAAAACAAAACCTTTAACAGTATAGTATACAGAAGTCATCCCTTATTCCTGTCTGTATTTGCACTAAAGACTCTGTGAAGCATCCCATAAGCTTTGTTTTCACCACACAGCCACCCACGACTGGTACCAGCACACTGCTGCGGAAGCATCTTCTGTTTACAAATCCTTACTGGAAATGAGCCAGTTACTCTACACTGGGAAGTCTTAGTCCTCATCCTGATCTGTAAAACATTCTGGTTATTGTCACTTCTGTGCCAGGCACGGTAATACTCTTCATGGACGTGGTGACTCCTGGATCATAGGCTACTTTGCATGCAGAGCTCTCTACCAGGTGGAAAGTTTTTTTTTTTTTTTGCATATTCCCTGTTGAAGAACCCGAGCCCCTACCAGGTTTGAGGTGCTTCACCTCGATCTGTTTGCTGGCTGCCTTTTTGCCCTCTTCCCTGATTACCTGGGAGACCTGACCTTCAGCTGCTGCCCCACTTTGAATCACTATTTTGCATCTGCCAGGTAAAACACGTCCCAGTTTTGTCTGAAATACAGGATTCCTAGTGCACAGATCCATTGCTGTTTTTTACGGCATGCATCTAATTGGTTTTGACGTGATCTGCCCACGTGCCGTAACCCATGCATTGAAACTTCAGCCTTTCTGAAAAGACAGGAAGATGGGGGAAATTGCTTCTCACCTGTTTTTCAAGCCGTTGCTTGTAATCTTTAGTACTGGCTTTTTAGTAAGAACTAGTGTTTCAATAGTCAATATATCCAAAAAGGAAATGATACTCAAGCTGTGCTTCAAATCATTCAAGTACTCCAATCCACTGCATCAGCAATGGAAACATCTACCACTGCTTGTTTACAAAAATTTTACAAAACCACAAAAAGGCCTGCGTACCTTCCATGTTTTATCTGTTCCACATGCATCCTGCCCGGTTTCTGTAAAAGACAGATATATGAAAATAACTGATCCAGACTGTGCCCTCATCACCCCTGAATTACAAAAAGATTTATTATAAAGAAATACTTTATAGCAGATCTACCTACTTTAGAATTTAAAGGCTAGCATGATCCTGTTCTGCCTCAGGCCAATGTTACCATGGCTCATTAGGTTTGCTACATAAACCAAAATACAGCTTCATAGCAGAAGTGCCACAGGGATGAGGAAAAAAAAAGTATTTTGTGTAAGAACAGTAACTGGTGTCTGGAACAGGATGAAGCTGAGTTTTGAGATATTGCCACTGTACACAGATATAGAGCAAGTTATGAGAGTCCTTAACTTAGAAATTCAGAATTTATTTACAAGATTTCACTAAAAAAAAAAAAACAACCAACATAAAACTCTCCTCCTGGATATACTCTACTCTGCAAAACACTGCAATTGAAGATCATTAAATTCATTTACACATTTTCCAGATTTATCTTTGTATACAACAGCGTATGCTTTAGTCATCGAGACATCAGAAGAAGAGATGATAAACTAAGTTGTTTTAAAATAATGAAACTGCCACATTTCCTTTGGTCTTCCCTCTTTCAAAATAAGCTAAAACACTTCAGCAGAAGATACATAAGAATTCTAAATTGGTACATGAGAATCAGCTTTCTTCAATTCAGACTGGATACATAACATCAGACCTAACCCAGCAGTCTTAACTGAGACAAGATCTGTACCAAAGCAATTAGCAATTGCAACAGAACTGCAAGATCATACTCATAGTTTCAATTTCAATAAGCTGTTAATTTAACAAAGGAAGACGGAGGGTGGGGGAAGAAGCAGCAGTAATAGAAGAGGCTGCAAATTTGCTGGGTTTTAACAAAGAATTGCATTTGAAAAGGGCATGGTATTCCCCTCCCACATTACCCAAGAAGTTCAGAATACAAATGGTTCCCCACTTCCAACACACTAATCACCATGCACAAGTTTAACACGCATTTAAAAAAGTATAATAATCCTTGACAGAACAGTAACAAATGCTAATCACTAATGTCACCTGCTAGCCTAACTTAACACAGTTGCCCAGCTTTAGGTACAGCTTTTTTTAGATTTTTGCATAGCAATTGCACCTATTTTCAATTTGCTTCACCATCAGCATGAAACATTCTCGATTTGAAAAGACAAACACCAAGAGAAAAATCCTGTTCTCAATCAAACCAGGACAATTCGATTTCCAATGTGAACTGATTTAGGACTTCACCCATCTAGTTTTGTTTCCCTCTATCACAACTGTACTTCGATAATTTGTAACACGTTTGTAGAGCCTAATTCATATTCTCTTAAATACTACTGTGGTAGTAATCAAAATAAAAAAACACACTTTGTTTTTCTTAATTTAAAAATAACTTGGGAAGTGTACTGAAGGAAATTAATCCCTGAGTAACGAGACATTTAAAAACTGCATCCTACTGACAATCATTTAATATGTTACGACGCTATTAACAGGCAGCAACAGAACTTGTCATAGTCCGATATATTTGCAGCATTGTTGCATTGATCCCAGTATCTTGTTTAATGAAACCGCAAGTGAACATTAGGAAATAGGATAAATAGAAATAGTGTCTTTATTATTTTAAGTTGAATGTCAAATTGACAGCTAAACCGTGCTGGATCCCAGAAAACTCAAGAGCAGTGATGGTTAGCAACTTGCTTCTTTGGATGTCCAAAAGATTTCGCAACAGGTATCTTCAACCAAACAACAGGAGGAGAATGATTGTAATGGAGTTCACCGCTATTAATGGCACTGCAGAGAAAGAAGAAGAGTTAGTTGTGAAAATCTTCTTTTCCACATCACAAAGTGACAGAACTTCACATTATCTTGGGAGACTATCTTTTAAGGAGCAAAATCGATCAAAACTTAAAAAATACACTTAATTTTCCTATGCATCAATCAGGATTAGTGGAAGGAGCCAGGATCAAAGCCTAGGATACTAAAAATTAGTAGGAAGCAACAGCATAAATATTTTTCTACGGCCCATCATGTTTCAAACTTTAACCCAAACAATCCTTTCTCCAAATGAAACTAAGCCATCTCAGAGTCAGTTTCTACCCTTGGCTTTACTATGATTTGGAAAAAATGTCAGTTTTTACTCTGTGGTGAGCAAGACAGGTACAATTTGTTAATTCCTGCGTATCATCACCTATAAAAGGAATTTTTGGTCTGCTTTATAGTGAAAAACTATTAGTAACTTACAAATGAAAGTCTATTCTTTTCCCCCCATCCTTTGAGGCACATAAACCTTTAAGAACCATAGGAATTACATTTCCCTCACCAGGTACTTCAGATAAAATTAAATTTAGCCAAGGTGAAGTTAATTGCACACTGCAATTGATCACTGAGCTTCCCACCCCCCAGCTCCCAAACTCCGAGGAAGCACAAGAGGCAGCAGCACCGCAAACCAGCGTCAGGGAATGTTTTACGTGCCATCAAACTTAGGGCACACGTGCTGCGTGCTGGGACCTGAACCCTCCTGCACAGAGCCCACGCATGAAGGAAGGAACCCGAAGGAAGGATAGATCGGAAATGACAAGCAGAAATAGCAGCTGTTTGGTAAAAGTAAAAATATTGATGTTACCACATTAAAGCACAGAAACAAAACTTTACAGACAATAATGTTTAAACAAAAGATCGTCACCTTACCTCTCATAACGGTTCGTACAGATCGAATAAGGTTCGTTAGCTGTGCTTTAATTCCTGGTTCCTCTCCAAATCCTCCAATCCCTTGATCGCTCCCCCAGCCAACTGTGTCACATAAAAACAGCCAGACGTGTTAGAAAACAAACCCCAAAACCAGGCAACAAATGCTATCAGCAATATTATCACTAACATTCGAAAGCAAAACTACAAACCAATTCGCTTTCTTTCAAGATCAGATTTTAAAACAATATACTGAAAACTTAAACCTTTTAATGAACGTGATAGTAATGACAGATCAATGTTTCCTTACCTTTAAAAATTAAAATACGCTACTATTCCATGCATGCCAGAGAAACAAATGAGTTTATTCAGGCTTCAAAAAAATACCCGCCAAAATAAAAACAAACAAACTACGACTTGTTCACAGTCCTTTACCAGAAGATAAAATAGCAAATAATTGTTGGGTATGAAGTGATGCTTCAGCACTGAGAAATGAGCTGCGCAACAGAAAACGGTCAGCACCGATTCCAAATTGGGATGACAATTTTTGTAACTGCTATTAAAGAAAAAAATTACTTGGGAACTTTTCTGAGAGCAATAGAAGTGCTCAAGATTTACAAAACCCTTCAAGGGAAAAACCCTTCCCTACCCACTGTGGGGTCCCATGGACTTTGGGGTCCTGCCGGTCACAGCCCTGACCCGTTTGGGGATGAGCAGGGAGCGGCGGTCAGTATTCACAACAGCTTCCGAGTCATTTTTTCCCCTTCCTTGTCTCCCTCGCTCTGCGGGCACAGGGCTGGGGGACAGCAGGAGAGCCCTCTGCCTCACCAGCTTTGCCAGCTGCTGCTTCCCACTCGGATGAGCCTGGAGTTATTCCCAAGTCTCCAACAAGTGGCTTGACCCATCAGGAAAGCAGAAGAAAACCCCAAACCCGGACCGAGCAGGTGCCTCGCAGTGAATCCTACCAGACAACAGGATAAAAGGATAATTATCTGCACTCCTGCCAAAAATCCTAGCTCAGCCTGACTTGGATTCTCCAGATAGCAAACTGGGAAACCTTAAATCGTTGGCAATTTTTTTCTGGGGCTTTACAGATCTTTGTATCAGTGTCTTTTCTGTGTTTTGTGGGGCTTTGTTTTCCTTTAAAGGACAAGGATGCCCAACCTTGGAGATCTTTCTTCAGTACCGCTGAAATGTGAGCGTGAGTGTGCAAAGACTGAGAAGTGCTAATTCATCCAAAA